GCGTGATTATTAAAAGTAACATTATTTAATGGTACTGTAATATTGTATAAATATTAAAAACTATTATAACAAAATTTATTTTAATTTGTAAAACTGTTTAATATAAGTATACGTTTAAAGACTGAAAATAATTTTGGCGCGCAATTGTAGAACTTGGATATGTACTTAAAATCATGCGAAAACATTTATATAATCTCTGTAGAATATACTCTCATATTAAAAAATATTATACGGTATCTTCGAAATATTATAATAACTTATTTTAATTTTTTAATAATAACCATATAACATTTCTAGGAATATTTTATTGCGTTTATAGGGACATATTTAAACTTAAGTTGTAAACGTAAGCAACGCACAAGTCTTAGGGTATATCCACACAACTTGCATAGTCGCATAAATATATGTATAAAGAAAATTATCCAATCACATTTTACGTGCGTCTTTTTAGGAGAAATGCGATTGAATAATTTTCTTTATGCATTCTTTATGCTCGTTTATGCGGCTATGCAAGTTTGTGTGGATGTACCTTTATCCCGGATCTATTATAGATGTTTTCTATTTGATAATGCAAGTCGACACAAGTGTCGTTCTATCTTTATCACTTTCTGAATGTCAACAAGGATAGAATGACGCTTGTCAATTTGTATCAACTTGTGTCATCAAATGAAAAGCATTCAATAGAGTTTTAAGCCTTAAGCCATAAGAAATAGACGAATCATAGTCGATTATTCTCCTCGAATTCGACCGTAATTGGTCAATTTCTTAAAGCTTAAAACACTTATTGTAAATCTAAGATTAACATATGACATGCAACTGAAGCCTGTTCTACAATGTGCTTTTTGTTTCCAGTTTCTTGCTTTTTACTATTTTTTGCATCTTGTCTTTTTGCTTCTTATTCGGTTTTTTTGTTTTATATCGCCTGAGATAAAAGTTAACGAACTTCGAAAGAAACAAGAAATACATAGCAAGAAATACAATTCGTAAACGGTTGCAAAGGAATTAAAAGTAAAAAACAGGAAATAAAGAGCACATTGTAGAATAGGCTTTATTGCCATCTCTTGGAGCAGCAACAAGTTGTTCGTCATACGTTGTGCGTTACTTAATACATCTATAACTTAAGTCTAAGAGTAGGAGTTGCTCCGCAAAATAAAAGGAACAGGGAAACAGAGAACAGAGAATAAAAATTTCAACCTATCAGAAACTTATTCCACTTCTATATTCCACAATACATGATTTCTGATAAGTTGAAATTCTTATTCTCTGTTTTCTGTTCCCTGTTCCTTTTACGTGCGGAGCCCCTTTGTTATGTTACGATTATTCTTCTATTCAGATCCTAATATTCGTATTCATAGTCAGACCTTATATTTAAGGCTTCCTTAAATTTATCTTTAGATAATCTACGAATTATTCCATTGGCTGCTGAGCATCTAAAGATAAATTTAAGGAAGCCTTAAATACAAGGTCTAACTATGAATACGGGCATAACTATCCGCATAGTATCGATACAATACTTTGTAATGTAAGTATTATATATATCGCCGATGGTCCCCACTCTGAAGTCTGAACTATCGTCTCAAGCACGTAATAGTAGAAAGTAATAGTCATAATTGAGATAAAGACATAGCAGGTCGTCCAGGATTTTCGCTACTGTTCGATACGTGTTCTCACAAAGTGGACTCGTGGTGACGTGTTGCAAATGGTGTATCGCGAATTCTTGAGAAATAAGTGCCCGCCGTAAATTCGGTCACGGAAGCGCTTCCATCGCATTCTTGCAGACATCAGTAGTCGCAAAATTGGGTATAAACCAAATATATAAGTGCGAATGAACAAGAATGAACAATCCGTCTTTATAAATCTCGTAACGGCGGTCGTTTGTAGTCATTTGTTCTCCTGATGAAGATAAAAATCAGAGCGAATACTTCTTGAAAGAAGGAAGAAACTTCTAAAAGATTGAAGATTCTGAAAATTGAAACATCAAAATATAAAAGAAGCGTAAATGCTTCTTTTACATTGTTCTCAATTTTCGCCTTCTACGAGTTTCGTTTACGTTTCTGTTATTCTCCAATTACATTCGATTTATGCTCCGATTTTTATTTTCATCAGAGTCACGTTTGATCGCATTTTTTCACGAACGAGCTTCGAATTTCACCATGATCGGCAAGTTGCATCTTGTGAAAGTTAAAAGAAAAAAATGAGAGGGACATTGAGTCCTTCAATGAGTGAAGAAAAATTGACCAATGTAATGATGGAAATTCGAATGGACTGTATTTGAGTCATGCTTATAGAATAAACATAAATTGCTGAAACTTTTTTTTACTGAAAAATTGAGTTAAAAAAAATGGAGGAACTGTTTTCATAATTCTCATCATTAAAAAGTAACTGAGAGATCTAAAAAAGGAATCGCAGGAGTTGCTTCTTGGAAGTAAATTAAGATCGAGTGAGTTTTTTAATTTACGTGAAAGTACATTTGCGTATATGCAACAATAAGTTATACATATGTAATTAAGGAATTAAGAATTAATATTTGAAAACTCTAATTCATCATTATTTTCAAAAACTACTATTGTCGTTCCAATGTCATTCATATCAGTACTTTGTGCACTTCGATTTTATTTATGTGAATAGCGAGTGCGCAGAAGTCGTGTTCATCAACACTCACTAATACTACCATATAATGACTCATGGACAGAGATAATCATCTAAGGATCGAGTGTCCTCATCTTCAGAACTATATAATAATGTGATAATTTATAAAAATAGGTTAATGAGAATCAGCGCAGATAAACGGCGCAAATTATTGTGAAATAATTATATACTCTGTAGTTGGAATGATGTCTTCATTATTTTCAAGTAAGTTTATTTTCAAGTAAGTTTTTTTCAAATAAAGGAGACAGCGTTCCAACTACAAAATATTAAATTATTTCATAATAATTTGCGCTATTTATCTGCGTTGACTCTCATTACTCGAACAAGAATGGATTAAAATGGATTAAAATTTTTTTTTATCCAAATGCGTATTTTAAATAGTGAATACTTTTTTTGATTTTAATTGGATTCAATTGGATTCAATTAGATTTAATTGGATGCAATTGGATTGAAAAATTGCATTTCCTATTCAAAATTTTGAACAGTATTCACAATGTGTGTGTTGTACACAGAAAAAGCTAATATTATTTTTAGATTGAAAGGCATAGAGATATGCTCCATGCAATTCCTATAAATGAATAAAAATACATTCATTGAAAAGCATTCATTTTAACATTCGTGAATCAAAATTTCTGAAAATCTGAATCCATTTCAATTCATTTTAATCTATTCTCGTTTGCTGGGTAGTTTACTTTTATTTATTTGTATGTTATTTAAAATTTGAGAGTCCGTTTATAATTATTATTATGATTAATTATATTATGATTAATTATATTATCTAATAGATAAATAAAAGAGTAAAAAAAGAGAGTAAGAGCAATGAGAATAAGAGAGTGAGCTGAATCTATCGAAAGGTGGAACAATCCGTAGTTACGATCTAAAAAATTTCCGGCTAAAATAAAAATTTATAAACATTTTATTTAATTTTTTGAGAACTATTTTATTATAATATATTTTGAGTCGCGAATTTTGAGTCACCCTATATAAACTGCATTCACATTCTGAATCATTTCATCTTTGTTAAACAAGGCAACAAATAATGCTTCCGAATGTTGCAAGTATGAACCGGATTATAACTATAGAGGTTAACCTGCGTTGATGTAAGTTCAGTCAATGGACGTGAAAGCTTCGTCGTGAAGTTCGCGAACGAAGAGATTGATGCAACATACAGCCGTTGCGAGTTGCAATTCGGCGAAAATAGCCGATGCGTCATCATAGTGTTTACGTCGCATAATAATCGCGCATCCGACGACACCAATATAACGGAAGAATTAAGAAAGCTAACGACGACGATTCGAATCGATGTATATTTAGCCTATCGAGTCGCAGATTTCACGGGATATATATCCATCGAAACGTGTTGTCTCCCACCACGCATCTGTGTAGTGTGCATTCGCGCTCACCGATTATGCAATTGAGCTGTAATATTTTGCGACTTCGGAGAACGAGGAGAGTTACACATTATCGATTATGATCGCGAACGTATGCATGTTTCTTGCGCGACGGTGAACGCGCGTCGAAGACCGAAGGCGCATGAATTTGTCGTTGCTCGCGCAATGACATGCGTGTTTGATTACCTTTTTTACAACGTTTCAAAAGTCACTTATTAATCGTCATGAAGATAATGATTTTATTTCTTTCTTTACGAGAACGTTCGGAAAGAGGATGTAAAAAAAGTGACATTATCTCATGACAAAATGATTTTACATTCTTATCTAATCATGTTTACTTAATTAATCTTCCATTCTTACAGTTTTTACTGTTTATTTATATTCTTATCTCAGTTTGATACTTTCAGTTATTTAGTATTGAATGTTAATGCTCAGGAGATAATTGTCATATAATGTGTGAAAGTGTGTTAGTAGAAATCTCTTAAAGAAGCAGACCAAGATGAGTGTATTAATTAATATATTTTTTATTGTTTTTAGAGAATGGCAGGTGTTGTATATGTGATAGGACTGCTGTTGTTAGGAGGAGCAGCAGCATGGACCGTTGATATTGCACATGATATAACTGTACATATGAATCAAGTAATATCAGTTTCATTCAGTGTATATAATAATAATAATAATAATAATATATCCAACCCACATGTGTGGTATTTTAATACCGACCAATATATCGCAAAACTAAGTTCTCAATTTACAAAGTCAAACAAAACTTCTTTCAGTGGTATTTTTAATATCACTGGTGTATTCCTTGGTAGGACGACATTAACGTTTACTATGATGGAAATGGGGGTAAGTGTTAAATAAACATTTTATTTTGTTGTTCTCTTTATTTCTTTAAAATAATCAAAATTTCTTTTCTTTTAGATTAAAGAAGATCAAGAAGTAGCTGTTATTACTGTAATACGAGAGGAACGCACAATAGACTCTATATTTACTGCTAGTGTAGCAATACTTGTATCCATTTTGTATATTAATTTTGGCTGTGCTATAGATTGGAACGTATGTCGCAATACATTAAGAAGGCCAATAGGTCCAGCCATAGGTTTCTTTTGCCAGTTTCTGATCATGCCATTGGTAAATCATAAACATACAAGATGTTTCAGTTGATGTATATAGGTATTATAGGTCTGTTTTTTATTCCTGCACTAAAATTTCTTGCTTTCGTCAAATTTAAACATCTATCTATCTTACTTTAAGTTCCAAAAGTACACTGGTTCAGCCATAAAAAAACAGACCTGTGCCTACAATGTACTTTGTAATGTACTTTGCTTGCTCTTTTGTCAGTCAGATTTTTCATGATCTTGATTTTACATTATTTCCAGTTAAGTTTTCTCATTGGATATCTTTTATTTCCTGATCGTCCTGAACTGCAAATAGGCATGTTCTTCACAGGGATAAGTCCAAGTGGTGGCGCTTCTAATATGTGGACACTGTTACTTGATGGCAATCTGAATCTTTCAATCACAATGACCACTATATGTACCATTGCTGCATTTGGTAAGTAATATAACATAAAAGTAATTTTTGTATTCTTGTATATAAAATTTTACTATTCTTTAAAGGAATGATGCCCTTTTGGGTCTTCACATTGGGTAGATATATTTTCGCACAGGGAAAAATTGCAGTTCCCTATCAGCACATCGGAACTTTCGTGATTGGTCTTATAATTCCACTGGCCATAGGATTTATTATTCAAAAAAAATTTCCAAGAGTATCGAAGATTTTGGTCCGAATAATGAAACCTTTTTCTGTGATTTTAATTATATTCATCATTATATTTGCCATCATGACTAATCTATATATATTTAAACTGTTTACGTGGAAGGTAAGTCTATATTTTTTTTTACAAATTCACTCAAATTAAAAAAAATATACAAATTGTTTTAATTTGATTTTTTTTTATCTCAGATCATAATCGCAGGAATGGGTTTACCCTGGTTAGGCTTTACATTTGGTTTTATAATAGCGTATATTTGCAAGCAATCTCAAGCTGATGTACGGGCGATTGCCATTGAAACTGGTATTCAGAATACAGGCGTGGCGATCTTTTTATTACGATTTACATTGAAGCCACCCGTTGATGACCTAACTACTGGTAAATATGTATATGAATATATGCATACACGAGTTATCTTAATCGTCTAACAAAATATTTTCTGTTTAGTGGTTCCTGTATCTGCTGCAATGATGACACCGGTACCATTAATAATTTTATTTATAATAAAATTGATTTATAAATACAAGCAAAAAAAAACGGCAAAAGAGACACTACAGTCTGCCCCATCGTTAGAAAAACTCCAACAAACTACAAATGTTTCTACGCAATTAAATGAATCTAAATCATTCGATCGTGCAGAATAATAAATTTCTTGTTTATGCATTAATAACATATAAGAAAGAACTATATTTTTTATATATTTTATATATTAATGTTGAAAAGCTTTAAGTTTTGATAAGAATGGGCTGATTGTGGATATATCACATTATGTCTATATCTATTATTACTTATCAAATAATAATTTAAAATTTGTGTTTTTTTTATGTCGATATTTATAACAGTTCACAGCAAACAAAATTAGTTTAAACCGGATAGACATATAAAATTTTTGAATGCGAGTCTTGTATTTGAAATATATCGCCTTTGTATTTGAAAATATTAAGGAAATTTATGATATATGTAATGTATACATAGTATTTCTTTTATATTTTTGTATGCGATATTTTTCAAGAATACAGCTCCTAAAAACGATGTCACAAGCCAGAAAATTTCAGCACGTCAGGCTCTCAAGATAATTGAAATTTAATATTCTAAAAATGGCTTTTTCGATGATATTCAAAATTTTTTATAAAGAATTCATCATCAGAATTTCAAGATGATGTCAACTATTTGAAAAAGAAATAACAAATATCACAAAATCTTTTTACATATTAAATCTCAATTATTTCGAAAACCTGCTATTGAAATTTTATTTGCAGTATCGTTTTCTGCATTTAAAAATCTATAAGAAATGCATTGTGTAAATCAAAGAATTAATTAAAAAAGAAAAATTTTTTTTAACTAGTGTAATTATGACAATAATTTGATTTATTATTTATAAAACAGATATAGAAAAACAATTCTTACTTAGTGAACAAAGATTTGTTAAATATTTAATAAGTATTGTGAAAATCTCATTTACATTTATATTTTATTTTTTAATTCGAAAAAAAAATTAAAGAATTATACTTTTCTAAACTTGTTTTTTGTTATGGAATGTCTAAAAAACTATGTTTTTAAGCATAGAATGTATTGGCTAAACAAACGTAATATCAAAAAATTTATTGAATTTTTATTGAAAGTATTCAAACGCGACATCAAAATTAATTTAACGCAATATCAAAAATATTAATTTAAGCGCATCGTTAAATTTATAAGTTTCGACAAGAACGAATATAGAAAATGATTCTGTTTCTGTGAGCGAAATTGATTTCAAAAATTCGCGCCCGTTGCTACCAGCGCCATCATCGAATGAATATTGCAGCAATACAACATGTACAAGTTTGAAAATCCCTCGCGCTAATGTAGCTAAATCGATTCGATACGTTTTGAATAAACTTCATTATAGCAATACAATAGCTTTTTCGCGAGGAATCTCGCTGTGTAATAAACATTAATCGTCATCTTGTTCAATAACTTTGCGAAGCAAAATAACACTTTTATCACTCACAGTTATACCAATGCATCGATTATTACTTCCTAAAATCTTGAGCATGCAATACAAACAATAATATCAATTTGACTTATTTTTCTCATCTCGCTACGCAAATAAAAAAAAACATCTTGCGGATAAATAATTACCATCTTGATCTCATTTAAAATCACAAGAAAATTTACTTTTGTCGAACAACTCATTATCTCCCAAGTAATGGCACTCGTGACATTTGTGAGCGAACGTGCTGAAGTTGGCCATCCTGCACTCGTGTACTCCTACCCGTCGCCGCCCGTTCTTGCTGCTAACTTCAGCATGCACTTCAGTTTACAGTACCGAGACTGCTGAGACCGATCGAATCTCGAGAAGGCTTGGAAATAGCGGGCTTTGAAACGAGCGGGCGAGCGATTTGGATTTCTATGATTTCGCTTTGATCGAGGATGCAGTCGGATCACGTTGGTCGACGACACGTAGATTGGTAATCGCGATATAGTGTTCTCGGCCTAGGTATACAACTGTGACGCGCGCATTCTAGCAAACAAGAACGGGAGAGAGAGAGAGAGAGGGAGAGAGAGAGAGAGAGAGAGAGAGAGAAGAGAGAAAAGAAAAGTGGAAGGGAGAGTGAGAGATATAGACGAGCGAGGACGGAGCATGCGACCGCGCCTCTGCGACGTTACTCGGCGTGTCGATGAGGATGGGAAGTGCGCCGACGACGACGAGGACGAGGGACGTAAGTGAGTCAGGGATAACGTCGTTGCAGTACGTCGTGCGGTGCTGCATCATCGCTTAGGAATGGTATCGCCGTCCAAGCACCAATATCAGCAGCAGCAGCAGCAACAACAGCAACTCAGGCAACCGTCGAGAGAAAACAAGTTTGATCCACGACGAAAGCCAGGTAAGTCCTGGAACGAGTAATTTCGTATTGCATAATAAGCGCCGCGCCGGCCGTTTAGCCGTTAATGGACATTACGTAGAGACGTTTGCACGAATGTGTTTGACACACGTTACGTGCCTGTCTCTCTACCCAGGCACACACGTACACGTACACACACAAATACACGCCGAGGGATCACTGAGAGTACTCGGAGTATCTTTATCGGCGAAGAGACTAAAGAGACGGGTTGTTACGTACATATTGTTACGTGTTGTCACTGAGGAACTCGAGTTGTTTTACAGAAGACTGAGATGCCTTCCAAATTTGTCTTAGCTTGGACGCTATGTGCAAATTAATGGAATCTTTGCCGATGCCGAAGCCAGTACTCTGAGCGATCACCAGTGTTTCCTTCGCTGTATGGTGCAAATAGTAATGATGATTCATTTTATATATCCCGTCTTATAGTACGTTCTCTGGATGTGAGTAACAAGACTGTTATTATCGCTTGATTAGAGGCTGCACCAATTCGTCTGTATCATGTGATTTGTACAGCGGTTGGTACGAATGTAAGACAGCAACTAAAATACTATAAGTGGACGCTTCTTATAACATATTTCTCGGAAAAAAAAGTCCGTGGAAAATATTAATGCTCTACACGCTCAGTTGATTCATTTGGGATTGACAATAAATCGAAAAAAAAAAAAAAATAAAAAAACTTTGTCACGCCTCAACGCGTCTACAGGTGTGACAAAACAATCATTGGCATTGATCGCAATGGAAAAATTAGTAAGATTTTTAAAACTTTTTTTTGTAGATATTCGTATACGAAGGGGCCTGCAACCTTTGGAGCAGAAGTCGTTCTATTTGGACATAAAGAACCATGCCATTGCGGCCAAGCTAGAGGCACAGATCAGGGAGTTGGGTGGTGTGAGTTTACATTTTCATCTCCCGCTTGTGTGATGCTGCATTAGAGTAGCCCTGTACCGACGTTTCCCGCTTCGTTTCTAGCCGCTTATCGATTTGTCGGAGCGTTTTGGTGTATTTCGGGCGAGTGTGCGAGCCCCTCTCTCACTTTCGCCACCTGCCTCTCTTTCTGTCTTCTCCCCTCTTTCTCTCCCTCTCTCGTTCATTCCCCCCTTCCTCTCTTCCTCCCGTTCTTCTCTTCCCGCCATTTTCGATCACTATGCCTACGGCCGCTTCGACGTAACGCCCGCTCGAATCTGCGCTCGCTCCCCTACAGAGAGCGCGACGCACACATATACATATACACGTGCACGTGCACGCGCGCGCGCGAAACGAGAAAAAATTCGAATATCCGTCTCTTCGCGACCGATGCGCTCTCCGGCCATTCAAATCAACCTCGTTGCCACGCGATATTACGGAGTACGCGCGCAATTATCGAACTGCCGGAACAATTCGAAACGGCAAACTCGATCCCGAAAAGTTTCGCGCACGGACCTTATCGGGTCACTCGCTAATGACTCGCGAATCTCGCGTGATTTTTCCGAGTTAACTTACTGACAATTTAAATTTACCTTTTGCTCTACTTATAATAGAAAATTATTGATGATTGATGCATTTCACAACAACGTATTTTTGATAAAGAGGAAGTTTTGTTCTTCTGTTATATGTTATATATAGTATGTATGTTCTAAT